CCTTGCTCCGACTTGCTGCAAGTGGCTTGGGAAAGGCCCAGGAGACCGGGCAGAGCTGCACTGATTGCTGCCTGAACTCAGCAGCTCCTCTCGGGGAAAGAGCCGCTTTTTGACTCGCCAGAAGGAGAGCAGAAAGCTTTTCTTACATAAATGTTTCTTTTCTTTTCTTTCTTTTTTTTTTTGAGGCTTGAAGAAAGTAGTTTATTAAGTGTACAAGTATTTGAGGAATCCCATGTGTGACACTTTTCTTATGCGTTGCTCAGATATGAGGCACTTAAGGCAACTTTGTTCAGGATTATGTTGTGCAGTTTCAGGCACTCTGAGGGGAGGGGGGAAAAAAGTCATTTCCTTATCAAAGTTTTTTTGTTGTTTACAGTTTGGAAATTTTGCATAAAAATGTAAGACAACCTTTAAAGCTAACTGTAATTCAGCATGGCCTTCTACCCTTCCACCAACCTGCTTTTTTTTTTTTTTCCAAATGGGGAAAGATGCTGTGAAATTTAAAGCTTGCAAGCTGAGAGAAAGTAACTGAGGTGGTTGAAAGTTGTAGTTGCACTTCCATAGAAAATTCCCAACTTCTGTAGTTTCTTCACTCAACTTTGGGACAAAGAACAGAAATATCATTTTCTGCAGAAAGGAAGGAAAAGCTTTAGCGTAATCAATTCAGAGTACACTAGATTATTTCATATGAGTGTGAAATTGTGCCGGCAGTCTACAGGCCCCTGACACTTCTAGACAAAGTAGCATCTCCGGGCTGTTCTAAACTAACTGCTGTAGCCCTGCAAGTCATAAACCTCAGTCATTAGTAGTAGATTATAAATTTTATACAATGAGAATAAAAGTAAAAATAAGCAAATTATCACATGCAAAGCCATGTATCTTTAATTCTGCAGCTGGTCAATGGGGCTTCTAGGGAGGCCCACAGCATCTGTTCTGCACAACTGAGCACAGAGCAGGAATCGCCGAGTTGCTGGAGACCCCAGCCAGCACCTCTTCAGGGCACAGTGTAGCGTCACATAATCTCCCAGCTCAGTGGCGTTTGCATGGCATCGTGCCTAACCTTATAAATCGCATTATATTAAAGAGTAGGATGCTTACAATGAGGTAACTCACCCATATTAGCTTCAGCAGCTCAACAAAGCCAGACCGCGTCCAGACTTTAGTTGTCTCACGAGTGGTCAGCTCCAGCAGCTGCGTTGGGTTTCACAACATGTCCAGTTTTCAGATTAGCGTGGGCAAAGCCAGCACTGCCCAAAGGTCCCCCAGCTCTGAGATCAGCATGAGTTAGCCTGGGATGTATCTCCATGCATTCTCCTGTGCATCAGCAAACCGTCCCAGATTTACTTTTTGTGTTGCAAAGGGACTGTACAGTAACGTCTCCTTGTCATAGCAGCTAGTTGCTTGCTCATGCACATGCATTAAAAAATGAATCCTCAGAATAGCAGAGAGACCAAATTATTCTGAAATAACTTCAATCTGAAAAGCCTGCTGGGGCTGCCATGTAATCCCCTGGTTTACATGGCCTTTCTTGGCTCTTCATGAAAGAACATGGTGGGGGTCTCTGCCCATCCCACACTGAATTGTGTCCTGATTGAGCCTGAAAAGCCACCGAGGTCCTTGGGCTGCTGGATGAACAAAAAGGGGAATCTCAAAACAACACCGCCTGGCAGCCGAGGCTTCCTTCCAGGCTTGCTTTCTTACTCGGGTTCTGTTTTTTGGGGCCTTCCCTGTCTCATCATCAAATAAATGACTTAACTCATTGCAAGAGTAATAGCTGCTCCCCAAGCCTTGGTGTGGCTGCACTGAGCTAGTGGGAGCACACTTTAAATTCCTGGAGCCCTTAAAGTCTTCCAGGCTTCCCGCAGTTTCCCCATGCGCTCCCAAAACTTTCACAGGGCAAGGACTACAGTGCAGTTTAGCTTGGGATATGGCCCCAGAAGCCCCATCTATGGTGGGGGAGGCGTCTTCTGCTCAGGTAGCAATGGATGGGACATGGCATCCTGGGAGTGCCAGGGAGAGCTGGCACTGCCTCCTGGGTATGTTGAGCAATACTGAGCCACCGGTCAGCAAAGGATTCAGTGGGAGTGAAGAAAAGTGAACTGAGTTGCCTGAGGAAAGAAAAGGCTGAAAAACTAAGCATAGCATTACAGCTGAGTCAGAAGGGAGGGGAAGAGGCTTACGTGAAGCTAGGCCTGCCGGGAACCTGGGAGAAAGGCATGGAGCCTTACTCATCTGCTCATCCTCCGAGCACAGAAGTGGGTGGGAAAGAGGTCTGCTGTTTTATCTGGGCTGCAGAAGTGCCTCCTGTGAGGCCGTCATACGTAGGGCTGCAGAGCAGTTAAGTAGCTAATGGTGATTTCACAAGCCGCAGCGCTGATCTGCTGGTTCGCTCCCGGCCCAGTGCCCGCCAGTCCCAGTTTTGCATCCCACCTTGCACCATCCCTTGCACCAGGTCCAGTGTTCCTGGGAACTGCCTTGCTTCCATTCAGCTCGCTGGCACAGAAAAGAAGATGCCAAACTTTTTGGTTTTTGCTCAGTTAGTTTTATGCCAGGTAACAAGTTAATTTGGCTCCTGGGGTAGGGGGTCAAGTGAGCTCAAGAGCTGCACAGGGTGAGAAGCGGCATCACACAGCTGTGAGTTGGTCCTTTTCCTTTTCGATAGGGGTGAGCTCAATACGGTGAGGCTGTCTTGGGAAGAAGCATCCTCACGGGTTCACTCTCTGATCTGAGATCTTGGCACATACCCTCAAGAGGGTAGGGAACCCCCCCTCCACCCCCCAAATTGTCCTTCTTTTAGAAGTGGGGAGATGACCCATGGAAGGACTAACTAGGTCTTGATTATGGAGCAGAGCAGAGAGTGGACTGAAGTGCTCCTGAGACCAAATCCAGGCTTTGGAATAGTACTAAATATATTCTATCCTTCCAGAAGCATGGTGTTACCTATTTAAAATGCCTTTTCCATTAATATGAAGAAAAGTTGTATAATGTGCAGCATTTTGAACCGTTACAGCTAGAGATGGGGAAGTGCAGAAGGAAAACTGTAGCAAAAGTAAATAGATTCTGTAGAGCTTAGAGAAACTAAGCTGCAATCTCAAATTCAAATAACTTTCCTATTAGGAAGGATCTATTAATACTTATGGTACGATAATCGTGCAGACTCCAAGTCCTCACCCAGTCAAAAGTAACCCCTAAGAGCCCATACCTACCCATGAAAATATCCCCTTGAAACAGTGGAAATTCTGCCTACATAAATACTACAAAAGTTGAGCTGCAAAAGCCTCTTCTGTAAACTACAAAATGAGAACTTGATCACAACAGCAGAACTTCAGAACAGAATTTCAGGCAGGA